ATTTCTGAGTACAGCTTATTTTTAATACGACCTATTTTCTTGCAAATGTCAGATGATCAGTTTTATGGCTAAACAAATAATCTATTGTGTATAAATGTCACACTTTATACTTTTATCTGTTGATAGATAGCTAGATTGATTCTAACAACTATATACAAAATAAATGCTTGACTCTTAAGGCTATTTTATGCATTTGACTTAGGCTGGCCCAGAAACCTTAGTAACTGGGCCAAAGATAACACAGATTTAAGATTTAGAAAAAAAATCAGCCTTCAACACCCACTCCCTTAGTCACTATAATATGCCATAGGTACGATATTATTTTATGAGGGTAGCCAAATATTGTAAGTTTTTACAATGAATTTGTTTTTTAAAATGTGCAATAAAGCAAAGGCCACAAGATTGCTTAAGTAACTAAATTGCTTGGTTTATGATTTGACTCTGTTCTTCTTACTAAGAATCCCTTTTGGCCAAGTTTCCTTGTATCCATCAAAGCTCTGGGTATTGGAGAATAAGTTCAGCAGGCATCTATCACTCTTGTTTCTTTTTGCTTTGTCTTTAAGTAGGGGAGTGTATTTTCTTTGGAGCAAGATGTGAATGAAGGCTAAGAGGTTAGAAAATAATTAGAGGATATAAGTTTGACTTTACATAATTTTGGAGTCAATCCTCCAGAACCATTTTAGACCTTGAAAAGTATAAAGGTAGTAATTATTTATTCTCAAAAAAATCATGAAGGTACAAAAGACATATTCTTGAATCAAAAGTTCAAGAATATTATAAGGTCTCATGATTTCCATATTAGATTTGGATAGGGCTAAACTTTAATCCTGGCTCTGGAATTTATTAGCTGTGTGACCTTGGGGATGAATCCCACCAAGCTTTGACTATCGCTTATTGTAGTACATTGCGAAGATTAAATACAATAAAGTGTAAAGTGTTCATTATGGTTCATGATACAAAATGCAGAAGCAACTCATGTCCACTAATGTACAGACAAAACATAGTGTGTGGATTGCAGTGTCCTCCAACCTTTAAAATGGAAGGAACTTTGACATGTGCTGTCACACAGGTAAACCTGGAGGATTGTGTGCTAGGAAAACTAGTCAGTCACAACATAACAGGTTTGTAAGAAGTATATAGTCTAAAGCAGAAAACTTAATGGTTGCAAGGGATGCCAGCAGGAAGGAGTGGAGATGTCTGCTGAGTGGGCATAGAGTTTTTGTTTTGAAGGATAACATTTAAACAGCTATATGAAGAGACATAATATGGAACTATTTGATTAAGGTGATTGGGATGGCAATTTTTGTGTATTATTCTACAGTAGAGAACACCATTAGTATTAAAGTAATTTTTATCCATTAGTCCGTCAAAAATCAGCTATCACATGGGTATATTTATATCTTTCCTCATTTGGTTTGTGGTTCTCTGTGCCTTGTTTGAGGGTTAGTTATATAAAGCTGTAGAGATGTCAAGGCAAGAAGACAGTTAAGAGCATTTATTTTGTCCGGTGCCATCTAGACACCCTAGAAAATTTACCTGGAAACCCAGCAAGATGGACTGCTCATGCAAGGTCATGTATTAGAGGACAGGGAAAAGTGGATTTCTTGTGAGCTTTTAGTTCAAACCAAAAATTCCTTTGAGCTGATGCCATTATACTGAACACAGAAGTGAACTGATACCCATATCCTTTATTTGGAAGCTTAGCAAATGTCCTGCTATACACACATCTTCAGTTAACCCATAATGCAATGATTGAGATTAGGACTGTGTTTTTTTGAAGAATAATATTGTATGTACGCGCACCACACACACACACACACACACACACACACACACACACACACGCAGGTGCCTACACACAGGCCAGAAGACAGCACCAGATTCCCTGGAACTGAAGTTTCAGGCAAGTGCAATGGGAACTGAATTCCAGTCTTTTGTGAGAACAGCAAGTTCTCTTAATGGCTGAGAAATCTTTCTAGCTATTTCTTTAGTAAAAGTGTTTATTAATTTCTTGTATTATTATCAGTGTATTAAAGAAATGGTTTATACTTGTCTCCTAAATGATACTTTCGTCTTAATTAAAATTTTAGTAAATCAAGGCTTACTTCTCTTTTGAGTCCTGTTTCTTTTTATTTTATTCTTGATTGATCATCAAGTACATGCATTCATAGCATGCGACATGATGCTTTGATATATGTAATGATACAAGCTCAGGTAATTAGCTTGCAATTGTCTTAAACATTTGTCATTACTCTGTGGTAAGAACATTAATAATTTATAATTTATCTTTCTAAATTGATGGGATACATCTTGCTAACTATGGTTACTCTACTGTGCAGTAGAAGATCGGGATCTGTTCTGTGACTATTTTCCCGCTCTGCAAGATCTGCTTATCTCCCCTCCCCTTGCCCCCTTCCCATCCTCTTGTGACCTCCTAGTCTCCTATCTCTACTTGACCCACATTTTTAAGTTTAGACACTAGTGAGAGCTTGCAGTATTTGTCCTCTCCCTTTTAATTTCAGGGTCTTTTTGAAACACAAACCTGGAGGACTATGCTAGTCTTCTTTGGAAGCAGACACAAGCTGTTTAGAATATCCTATCCATAAAAGGAAGCAGCAAGATGTAGGCGTGTGAACAGATTCTTTCCTAGGGATCTGGACAAGATCTAATACGAGAAGCACCGTTTTGCTTTTCCTGTGTCTTCTTGTTCGGGGAGATTAGCAGCTGCACATTTGCTCCTTCATTGCGTGGGGCCGTCCTAGAATCCCGGAGTAATCTAGAGAGATAAGTGGGATTTTGTCAAGGTTCTGTCATTTACCTGAAGCAAAGGAGATGAGGCCTCAAGTCAATACCCGGTAAATGGATGACTCAGAGAGAGAACGTAGCTCAGTCCTCCTGCCTCTGCATGCCAATGCGCTTGTAGTGCTCTTAAATGCCAACTTGTAAGCTCTAGAAAACAGGGAAGCAATGGAGAAAGAATCATTAAATTGCTTAAAACAAACATAAAAGACTGGCCAATACATTGTGAGAAAAGAAGACACCTTGTCTGAGAATCATAGTGAAATATGACCACATGTAATTCCCATGTAACAGATGAGAAGTCTGATTGCTTTATTAATGTGATGGGTCTGTGGAGGATGAGTGAGGGGAAGAATATCTTAGAGCAGAAAGATTGGTGAGGACTGTGATAACCTCTGCAGGGAATGACGAGGTGGAGGGAAGGTCATGTGTGCATGTGTTGTGGAAGAGACCGGACTGTTTGATGAATAGAAAATGAATGGAACTGGAGGTTCAACCTGCAGAGCACGAGACTGGAACAACTGGATTTGAGAAGGGAGTAGACAGCTTTTCCCTCTAAACCATAGCCCAGAACTGGGCTCTCCCCTGCTGTGATAATTCTGTTATTAACACAGACAAGCAGAAGAGCGTTGATCAGCCCTAGGTTTAGGATAACAGTGATCAGATGATCTCTATAAAATGTCAACAAAACAAAGCATTGCTTTTTCATCTTGGGCAAAGTATCCTACATCTGTTCACAAGTGTAGTCTGTCTGAACGAAGGAAGCCTGATGTACTCAGAGATCTGCTGTAGCCACGTCTATCAAATACGTATTGAAATGGAAATAACTGGGTTGTTTTGTGTATTGTTAACTTTAAAATTAGGGCATTGCATATATAAAACTTAAAAGAATATGAGTAAAAATTGTGCAAGTACACAGAAAATCTTCAGGTTAACTATGGACACTGGGGCTTTATGTGTACGCTAGATTTTATTGGATTTTTTTTCCCCAAGACTTCCAATATTGTGCGATGTGACTGAGGAAAACAATGGCCTTGCTTCTTGCCACCGTGATTCAAAGACAACTTCTGCAGGGAATATATCGCCTTTTCAGTCACACAGTCGAGAAGGGCTGCCACGCACCGAGAGAATCGATTTGGAATGGAAATTTGAAAATGTGAAGAAAAACGTGTGCTTTTCATTTTAACTATTTAGTAAACTCTTCCTACACAGTTTGAGAGCAAAACACAAGAAAGGCTGCTCAGAAGATAGTTGCTATATATAATATATTCATATCACTTATTAGATAGTTATATATATATATATATATTAGGTATAGGCAGCTGCTTGCACAAATTTGTGCTCATAGTCTCAGAGAAACAGAAAAATTATGAGATATTTGGTCATTTTAAATATGTTCTTGCTCAAGAAACCACTTGCTCATTTCTGTACTGGACAACGAACTAGAGACATTTATCTTTATAACTTTCCCTCCTATTTTGGTTCTCACTTCAGGGGTCATGATATACTGAAAACCACACAAGATAAATCTGGGGAGGCAGGAAACCATAAAGACCACATTCAGACTGGAAGGATAAAGGTAGGTAAACTTTCTGTCCTGTTGATCCTTGTGTTGAGGGTGTCACAGAACATATCTTTATTGTTCTAAAGTCAGAGGGCAGTGAAGAAAGGGGCAGGTGAGATGGCTCCAGTTCAGAAAGTTACTCAGTATTGTCCAGTCAGTTGCGTCTAGTGATCCATTAATAGCAAACACTGCATGCTGAATACTTGAGATACATATTTTCATCTGCCTTCTTCTGGGGTCCTGAGAAAGGCAATAGAGAAAGGACATATTTTGATATTTCTGTTCTTCTTAGCCATGCCTCTTTAAATTGCTCTCAGTGAAGGCCAACGGCCCATTAACATCTTTTAAAATTCCCTCTTTAACTTTGGAGAGACATTCATTCTATTAATTATTACTCTTTTAGAAATATTTATCTAAGATAGTATAGTAAACAATGCATGCAAGTGTTTTGTTTTGTTGAGACAGGGTGTTGCTATGTAACCTGGATTGTCTTGCACACTTAGCTCAGGCCTCAGCCTTGCAAATGCTAAGATTACGTAAGTGTTTTCAAGGAAATACTCTTGATGGTGAGGACTGGTGGACATACAACTCAGATTAATGTATTTTTAGTGATAGGAAAGCAATATCTTTAAACTAATTATGTATATGTATTTCTCTCTATATAATTGGATATACACACAAGTAAGATGTGTACTTGCCATGTGTGTTGAGTGTGTTGAAAATAGAGGCCACCTTCGTGTTGCAATCTTAATGGTATTTTCCAGTGGGGAAAATTAGCCTGGAGGCCTCTTTCTTCCTCACTTCTGTGTCTCTGGAGTGAGAAATTTGCTCCTCCATCACAGGTGAGATAGGGTTGAGGAGAACACGGCATAAGTTTCAGCCGGGCAAGGGCTCCAGTGTTCTCCCCGCTCAGATCCCCAGAAGAATGTAACAGTAAGGGGGCATGAACAAGCAGAAGATACTGCATGGGGCTTGGGCTCTTTGCCTGGGCTTCCAGAGACGAGTGTGCACTTCCTTTTCACCCACTGAGTTTATATAGTGGTAATGAGTTCTATATTTTATTGGAACATTTTTACTTTAATGCCAACTTTTAAACTTGTCAATGAAGAATAACAGCTTCATTGAAATTAACCTTTTAGAAGGGAATGATTTCAGTAAAATAATTTTAGGGAAAACATAGATCTCTACAGGAGTCATTCTATTCTTTTTTAAATTAACTAATTAATAATTTAAAATTTCCACCTCCTCCCATCCTTCCATTTCCCTCCCACTCTCCCCCCTTGCTCTCCAGTCTTAAGAGAAGTCAGGGTGCCCTGCCTTGTGGGAAGACCAAGGTCCCCCCTCCATCCTAGGAAGGTGTGCATTCAAACAGACTAGGTTCCCAAAAAGCCAGTACATGCAGTAGAATCAAAATCCAGTGTCATGAACAAAGTTACAAATACTTGCTTTGCACTTAAGAACAACTAAAACTGATATATAAGGTAACTACTGGGTCAGTGTCGTGGGCTGAATGCCCAGGACTTATAAACAGAATCCACTTAATTCTCACGACAGCTCTGGGAGGAGGTGAAGGAGGTTGTTCCCGTCTGTGATGAAAGCTGGCTGACTGGCCAACTGCACAGATTTAGCCAGTGGGTGGTGAAGTTGGATAGGAGTCTAATTCCGTCTGCTGTTAAACCATGTCCTTGACCAGCATGGAGAGCAGAAGCTGAAGCAGTGACTTTAAAGGAAGGCAGCATCTCACGTGCATCAGACGTTTAGCCTCCGCGTTGAAACACACACTCCTAAGGAGCACGTATCTCTCGCTCAGTGACGTCTGTGGTGGAAATAGCACATTTTACAGATTCATTTTTATAACAAAACACTAAACTTCATAATCCTCTCAAAAAATAATTAAAAGGATAGCAAAAAAAGAGAATTTCAAAATATTAGCTAAAGAGATTAGAAAGCAGCAACAAAGCAATACAGTGAATGTATGTGTAGCAGGAATGTGATGGTGGTCAAAGTGGGAGATTTTATTTAAATAATTTTTTTCCAATAGACCAAAGAATAATACCTACACTCTTGATTTTCTAACAGACTCCAAATGTTTATTTTAAAAAACACACATGTATACCACTTGGTAAGTTAGGATAACAAAACTTAATTAAATTAAAAGAAAATTTTCCCAAGAAATCAGAAAAACTCTACGGGTTAATTGTATGACATGTTTGATCACCCAAACTTCACTTCATTTTAGAAATTATAATGGATAAAATAGAAATAGAAATAACTATTATCCTTGTTAGAAACTGTTTTAAATTCCTTACAATCATTTAAAAAAATGTTTAACTTCTAGGAGGTACTAGCAACTATTGTTTTTATTTTACAAACTAGGAGGCTGAGGATCAGAGAAGTTAAATAACTTGGTCAATTCACACAGATAATAAGTGGAAAAACTGAATTAGTACTCAAGTGGACTAACATATGAATGAGTCTTTGGTTTTAAATACTGTATATTGTTGTCTCTTAATTGTTTTAATTTTAAAAAGTTGCAATTATTATGGAAAAGATGACAAAATAAAGAGTATTGGAATAAAACGTTACAGTTACTTAGGGATAAAAAAGCTAATGGTATACATCAGTTTGTCTTTCCACAATAAATGTACAGTATGATAAAATAACCTCATTTATACAGTCAGGAATACTTACAGATAGCTGTGTAGGTACAACATAAGCATTAAACGAAGATAGTACCAGTAGAATGAGAAACAAAAGAAGGGAAGTGGTGAACAATGTTTACATTGGAATCCGGGAAAAGAATAATAAACGTATAAGTGTCATCTTCTCCATATTAATTTATGAACTTATTATAACTTAATTTGTAACTTCAAAAATTTGAGGAAAACTTGCCATTAAAATTGAAGAAAGAATTACCTGAGAAAAGTAAAATTTTGGAAAAAGAAAGGGTAATTTAAGAACTTAACATTTCTGAGTACTAAAATATATTAAAAGGTTATATATGAAAGGTTATACTTAAAACAGTGTGTTACTTTTTTTCCACTAATGTAGAAACTTAAAGGTCCAGTGGCAGTTTGAATGAGAAATGTCCCCCATAGGTTCCTCTATCGGAAGGCTTGCTCTCCAGATGGTAGCACTCTTTGGAGAGGTTATGGAATCTTTAGGAGATGCACCCTTGTTGCAGGGAGTGCATCACTGAGGAGTGGACTTTGAAGATTTACAGCCATACCTAGCTTCCAGTTTGTTCTTTACTTCCTGTGTGCAGCTGTGTCACGATCAGTTAGCTTCCTGTTGCTGCTGCCTGCCATACCTGCTTGCTGCCACGCTCTAACCTTCTGGAACTGTAAATCCAAACAAACCTTTTCTCCTAAAGTTGCTCTGGTCATTGTATTTTATCAGAGCAACATAGACGTAAGTAATATCGGAGGAACTAAATTAATTTGAAAATCCCACAAAAAGCACAGCATATAAAAGTAGCACGCAATAGAGACATTTCAGGCTAATAAAGTCCTGATGATTCAATGACCATAGCAACAATAACTGGTTAGAGCTCGAAAATATATAAACTTTTATATAATATACAAATGTTGACTAAATATTGGTTGATAAAAGAAGAAAAATGATGAGATTCAGTTGGAGAAAAGAACGTTGGTGAATGCCTTTGCCTTTTGGTATACCATAATATTTAAAGAGGAATCAAGAGCTGAAGAGTGCGAGGCGTAATTGTATTAAAACTTCCTTATAGGTTAATGAACAAGAGACACAAACAGCATTGACCCTAACAGTGAATTTGTTTGATTTTTTAAGAGTAGAATTAATGAATCAGTTAAATTCTGAGTAACATTCCAAAAATATGATTGTTTAAAGGTTTAATAAAGCAGAGACCTTCTGGGTGAGTTAGTTTTCTACCCTCTGCAGGGTAGATAGTCATGGACACTGTCAAAGGATAAATATGTTATGTCATAGTATGACATGATTTACTATCATATATGTTTATGTGTATATATATATATGTGTATATATATGCAAAAAGTATTGACAGCATTATTGAAAAGTTCAAGCAACAACTTGGAACAGCAGCAACTTTCCATCAAAAAGACCAACTAAATTTGAGATACCATATTCACAAAAGTGGAGGATTTTAAGTAGACATTTTTATAATGCTTGCACGTCAGTGCATATTTCAGAAATCATTTGCAACATCTTTGAATAATTCAAGTTTTGCTCATGTGAAAATGTATCATCAAGTAGTAAAAATGAAATCCCACAGTTAGTCAAATGCAGTAGATAATAGCAGTGGAGCGACAAAATGGTGACGTTTGAAGAGGAATGTTCCCAGGTTGATGATTGTGAAGTACAGTACAACAAAGCTGGCTATTTCCACTCCATCTAGGGTATTTCTCCTTTTTCAAATGCTGGGGTCACAAAGCAAATGTGAAAGGGAAATTCATCATCATCAGCACACACTAAAGATCTTTTTAGCACCTTAGGGCTCAGAGGGGAAAACACTTGCCGTACAAGCCAAAGGACTTAAGATCATCCTCTAGACGCCACAGTGGGAAGAGGGAAGTGGCTCGTGGAAGTAGTCTTCTGGCCTCTGTCCACATGCCACGGCACGTGTGTACACTCACAGTAACAATTAAATTAAAAATAAAAAGACAAATTGATAAAACCTTTAATTTATGTGAAATATAACAAGTAATGGCAGCCTGTACTGTTACAACCAATTGGCACAAAGATTTACAAAGGAACACATTTTGCCTGAAGTTCTGTTGGCATAATTACTGGAAAAAATACCTGATTTGCTGTGATCTTTTTTGTTTTTCTGGTTGGATCCACGTCTCTGAGCAAAGCAATTATTCTTGGCTACTGTTGTTCTCCCTAAAGACTTGCATGCTGAACCATGTCCTGCCAATGCTGTGTAAGCTGAATGGACTTCTCATCTGTATTGTTCTTTTGTTTGTAGATTTAAATCATGCCATATTGTATATTCAGCCATCTCCCCGCACCTTTCT